TTGGTTAAACAAATTATGGCACACTTAAAAAACAGAATATTCTGTAGCCACTAAAAATGAAAATAGAGCCATATAGAGACATATGTATTATATGTTTTGCAAGTTATATAGAACTATAATAGTAAATCCCATTTATGAAAATACTTTATGATGGTTTTCTTTCAGATCCTTATTACATAACCAATTTTTAATTGTTATGATTGGATCATTATAATAATCATGCAAATATGCTGCTATTTTTATTATCTAAAAAAACCCACAGAAAATAAAACTTCAATTAGCTTCTCTTGACCCTATTTCCCCCACCCACATCACCTCATTTCTTTGTTACCCTTTGCAGTAAAATCCCTTTCATTTCTCCCTTCTCAAACCCACTCAGGCTGGTTTTGTACATTTCAAGGTCACCAGTGGCCTTCATATTGCTAGGCCCCATGGTCATGTCTGTCCTCCTCCCACAGGTTCCATCAGAAGCTCTCACACAGTGGGCCACTCCCATTTCCTTGTAGGACTTCTTCGCTGGCTTCCGGAAGTCCACCCTCTCATACCCTCCTCCTGCCTCATTGCTTCCTCCTCAGTCTTTGCCACATCCTCCTTTTCTTGCCAGATTTTTAATGTTAGTTCTCTTCTCTGCCTACGTGTTCCTTTGACCTTATTCAACCTGCATTTCAGCATTGTCTACTCTAACTTGTTTCTTTTTCCTAAACTCCTGACTCAGAAATGCAACTGCCTACCCTGATTTCTAATACACATCTCAAACCCATCATGTCCCTAACAGAACTCATGCCCACCCCCTACCCTCAGTAAACCTGCTTCGTTCACTTGTTGGCACCTAAATCTTTCCTGATGCTCAAGCCAAACCATGAAACCATCTGTAAACATCATCCTGTCTCTCTCATATTCAGGTCCAGTCCTTCAGAAAGTCCTCTGGGCCCTCGTCAGGTTATATTCCCAAATCCAACTGCTCCTCCTCACCTTCACGGCAACTGCTCCGGTCCAGTCCACCACCATCCACCACCTGGATTGCTGCAGTATCACTTCCCTTGTCTCCCCCACAGCCTCCATCACCCCGGGAGTCAGAGCTGCCTTACAACATATGTCTGATCATATCACTCCTCTGCTCCGAACCCTGGAGGCTTCCCCTCTCACACAGAGTAAAAGCATACCAGGCGTGTGTCCCCTCTTCCCTTGGCCACGCTCTGATCTCATTGTCCGGGCGTCTCCCCACCACCTTCTCTGCCAGCCTGGCCAGCTTCCTGGCTATGTCTCAGCTCCTCCTGCTCCTTTGATCGGCCTTCAAATACACATGCTGTTCACTCTGCCTGGAAGGCTCACCCCTACAACTCTGCACTTCCTTCAAGCATTTGTTCAGATGCCTCCTTCTCAATGGAGCCGACCCCTCTCCAGCTGTCCTGGTCCCCCTCACCTGCTCTACTTTTTCTTTTTTTCCACGGTATTTTTTACCTGATAAAATACCAAGCAATTTCCTTATTTCATATATATTTGAGGCCCAGTGCAGGAAGATTTGTGCAAGAATGGGCCTTCCGTTCCCTGGCTGCCGGTACTACCTTTGCTCAGTTTGGAGAGCTGAGGCTGGAAAGCTGAGGAGAAGGCAGTGAGCAAAAGCAGGTGTTCTGTCTGCAGGCACTGGTTTGCATCACCTTTCATGTCATATAATTATCATTCCTTTTTATGGTGAGAACATTTAAGATAGAGTCTCTTAGCAGCTCTCAGGTATATAGTACTAGAGGCTCAGCGCACGAAAATTTATGAACTCAGCGAGGGGTAGGGGTGTCCTCAGCCAGGCCTGTGCCCTCTCGCAGTCCAGGAGCCCTTGGGGGATGTCCAGCTGACTGCGTGGGCCCGCTCCCCATCTGGCCTCCCTCTGAGGGAGGTTACCTGTGGTCCGATCAGGGGACGGTGCTAACGAGTGAGCAGCCGGCCCCACTGCCGCCTGCCATCACTGCTCCATTGGCCTCCCTCTGTGGTGAGTGGCCAGCCCTGCCTCCCGATTGCTCTTCTATCACTGGTCGCCTCCCTCTCCCCTCCCCCATCACATTGTTGTCCTCTCCTTCTGCAGATGCATGTTTGGGGTACCCAAGAACTGCTTTAAGGCTTGAACAACCCAAGTTTTTGTAAGTCTGGGTTCATGAACTCTTCGGCGATACGAGTCCTTCAAATGCTTAGTCAGCTCCTAAAGTACTGTGTTTCCCCCGAAAATAAGACATCCTCCGAAAATAAGACCTACTTACAGGTTTCCTTCTGAGTGAAATATAAGGCATTCCCTGAAAATAAGCCCCCCCACCCCCAGGCTAAACATGAGAGATTTGGTCCACTGATTCTGAAAGAAATGGAGTCACAAGAAATTCACCAGGAAATTCAGGAATTGGATTGTTATGATGATGTCCCAGAAGATGATGACATGATTGTCGCTGAATAAATGAGTAAATTCTTGATACTGTAGGATTCACAGTTTGTCTGGTTTGTGTTAACAACAACCGTACTACCGTACCGTATACAGGTACTAAATTTCCTTTATTTTCATTTAACAATAAATGTGTACCGTATTCTTCTTCATGGAAAAATAAGACATCCCCTGAAAATAAGACCTAGCACATCTTTGGGAGCAAAAATTAATATAAGACTCTGTCTTATTTTCGGGGAAACAGGGTATGTGCAGTCATTTCATGTGCCAGTTGTTGAGCTTTGTAACGTTTGCATTGTAACCTCTATGCCTCTCCTTCAGCTTAAAGGCAACCATCTTGAAACCATCTGGGAAACAAGGGCTTGAGTGTGAAGTATCCGCCCTACTCTTGGCTGCAGTGGGGAAACTACCTGTTTAGTGAGAGTTCTTAATGGGCTTTTGTTGCTCGAAGCCCTTTCATCATTCTTTGGGGTTCAAAACACAAGGCTTCAGATTTCTGGATTCATCCTATTCCTTTTCATTTCTGCTCTTGAACCAGCCACCCTTTCCCGAGTTTCACTCTTCCTTGTACCGATGCACTAAACAAAGCCAATAAGAATCAGCACATACTAACTTTGGATTTCCCAACTTCTCCTCCTGGAGCCATAGACCCAGTAACACTTTGCTCGCTAAGTGACTACGGGACAATTTTATTAAGTAATCTGTAATTATATAACATGGGTCTTCATCTTTTCAGCCTCCAACATCTAATTCCTTGCCTTCCTCTGCAGTGCTACAGATTTTAGGGTTTATTCTCTTTTCCTCCATGGACTTTTAGAGCAAGAGAGGGAGGAGGAAACAGAGAGAGAAACATCGATGTGAGAGAGGCATGTGCCCTTGACTGGGAATTGAACTGGCACAATGGGGGGGCCTCCCTCCACAAAGTCACTCAAGTTCTAGATGTCACAAGTGAAGCCCCTTCAGCACGTGGGCACCACGGTTGCCCTGGGGGTCTGTTCGCTCCCGGCAGTCAGAGGTGAGAAAAGCATGGACAGCTCTGGCGGGAGGTGTGAGTCTCATGAGATGTCTTCTCATGTGTCATTTTCTAGAACTCAGTCACACGCGTCCATCAGCTGCCAGGGGTGGGACTTGCTGGGCTGGGGGGAATAGCTCCTGGGTGCAGTCACAGTGCTGTGCTATGTTGAAGGGGGTCAACCAGTTTTTTAAGTGGAAAGTTAGCTGATCTCCCACAATTTTATGTTGTTGTTGTTTTTTTTAATATATTTTATTGATTTTTCACAGAGAGGGAGAGAGAGAGAGAGTGCTAGAAACGTCGATGAGAGAGAAACATCAACCAGCTGCCTCTTGCACACGCCCTACTGGGGATGTGCCCGCAACCAACGTATAATACATGCCCTTCACCGGAATCGAACCTGGGACCTTTCAGTCAGCAGACCGACGCTCTATTGCTGAGCCAAACCGGTTTCGGCTCCCACAATTTTAAACAGAAACGTTAATAACGTGAACGTTCAGCTCTGTCCTCTGATCTGCCAGCCGATAGACTCACTGAAAAGGGGGTTTGTCAGAAATTGGGTTGGAGGTGAGGAGCCTTCCTCACTGACTCAGTCTGGGAAGGAAGAAGAGAAGGAGCAAGCAGGGCATCGTTTCACAACAACATCCTCCCTGTTTTAGTAAAAAAAAAAAAAAAAAAAATCCCTCTCAGGCTGAGCAATCACTGACTGCTGGCTTTCAGGATTTAATTTTTAAACAAAGGAATTGGAAAGCCGAACCACAATGTGCTTTGGTCTGGAGGGAGAGAGGGCAGAGGCCTGGATGGAGGGGAGTGGGAGGCTGGGACAAGAGCTTAAGCGGCAGGAGCTTTGCCATTACTTCCTGCCCCTCGAACACCCGCGTGGGGCGGGCAGATCGCTCCTGCCGGTGCCCGCGGTGGGCGGTGGGCAGGCGCTGCCTGCTGCAGAGGGGCTGGGACAGCCCCCGGGAGCCAGCGAAGCCAGTTCTGTGGAGGAAGCCTTCTTTGTTAAGAACCAAATCCAATCAAGACTTGGCTCTCTAGCTGCAGATCAGTACCTACCGCGCTCTTCCCAGATCCGTGTTGTCACAGAGCCCCGGGCACTCAGCCCAGAGAGCCGGAGCCAATGGGCTTCCCGTGTGCCGGAATGGAGGTTGATGACTTAGGAGGCCCGAGTCTGACACACAGCTGACTGTCTGCTCAGACCCGTGACCCGAACAAACCCTTCTGTAGAGCTGAGGCTCTGGTTTTCACAAAAGGGAGAGGGCTGCTCACCATTCAGAATACGTCTTTCCCTACTGCAAGTTGTTTTTTTGTTTTTCAAATATATTTTTATTGATTTTTTTTTTACAGAGAGGAAGGGCGAGAGATAGAGAGTTAGAAACATCGAAGAGAGAGAGTCATCGATCAGCTGCCCCTTGCACACCTCCTACTGGGGACGTGCTCGCAACCAAGGTACATGCGCTTGGCTGGAATCGAACTCGGGACCCTTCAGTTCACAGGCCGATGCTCTATCCATTGAACCAAACCGGTTTCGGCCAAGTTGTTGTTGTTTTCATTAAGATCTGACTCGTGCTGCATTTCAAACACAGTGCATGCAGTTCACCTTGCCCAGGGTACAGCAACTGTGGAAAGTGAGGCTCTGTCACAGTGTGAGGCCCTCGGCCACGCCCTGGGCGCCAGGCCCTGCCAGCCCAGCTGTCCCAGCCCGAACAGGTGGTGTAAGACAATAGCCCCGCGGCTGAGAGCCGGCCAGACCCTCCGGCCGCCAACGGTCCAGCCAGCCAGACGCCTGCAAGCAGCCCGGTCGCCAGCCTCCACCAGCCCAGCCAGCGCCACACTCATGGAGCCCCGGCCGCTCCTCCTGCTCCTCAGCCTCTGCTCAGGTAAGTGCGGGTTTTGGGGGGCTCTTCTCTGAGGCTGATGCACTAGGACCCCTCCCCCGCAAAAAACAGAGCCTTGCTTCTTTGGTGGGAGCACAGAACGGCAGGCTTCAGCGGCCCCAGACGGCTGTCCGTTTCTCACCAACGTCCACTTGTTTGGGTTTGGGGGTAAAGATTGTTAGTTTGTGTTAATCCAGTTAAACTGGGAGCGGCTGGGTCAAAGGCTACAAAGCGGACAGGCCTCTCTCCCCCCTTGGGTGCCCGGCCCCTACGGCCCCTGTGAGCAGTCACCACCCCCTCTCCCTGCCCAGAGCTGCTCTCACACTTGAACAACCACAGGGACTCAGGGTGACGACTGGCACCCGCAGACAATAGGCTCACAAGCCCTCGGATGGCTCCCGGAGAATTCTGAACGCGAAGAGGCTTGATTGACAGCTCCAGGTGCCGTGCCGGAAAGAGAGAACCCTATTCATGACTGTAATCCAATGCTCCCCATGAGCTGAAATACTGTGTAACTTTTTATAAACTTCTGAAGTTAAAAGAAGAAGAAGAAGAAGAAGAAGAAGAAGAAGAAGAAGAGGAAGAAGAAGAAGAAGAAGAAAGAAAGAAAAAAAAAGGAAGCTCATATTTATGCTTTCTTGCCTCCTTTATTTTGGAAGCACATTGCTCTCGGTGGGTGCGGGTTTGAAATGAAACGGTGAAACCTCACACAGCCCTTGACCTTCATTCAGCCCTGGAATGTGCCAGGGCACAGCAGCTGAAGCGCTATCCTGATCCCAGACTTCCGGCAGAGGAAGCTAGAGGTTTGCTGATGGCTGCACGTAAAAGCTTCCTGGTGACATCATCCCCACCGAGAGGCAGGCAGCAGACACGCTGTGATTTCTCTTCTCTCGTGTTGCTCTGACAGCACAGGCCTCTGGGCAGGAGCGGCGAAGAGCGCTATTCTGAGTGTTTTTCAATAGCAGAGTTGAGGGAAATGGCCTAAACTCTAATAAATTCAGATACGTTATATCCTGTGGGATTTGGACTTGATCCAACCAGAGCTGGCGGGTGGTGGAGGTGGTGTGTGTCTGTGTGTGTGTGTGTGTGCACGCAGGCAAACACTACACACAGTGAAAATTCTTAAGTTACATGCTTATGTCTAAAAATTCTTTAGGAGATCTCTTAACCTCCAAAGATGCATTTTTAGCTACTTGAAAAGGCATGTGATATGTATTTAGATCAATCCTAGAATTTGCTGGTGTCGATTCACATGAGCGAATGCACAGCTGGACGAGGCATTCCACCATCTTTGATTTTTTTATTAGGGAAACAGGCTGAAAGGCATGAACTGACCTGCCCACAGTCACTCAATTTATAAATCTCGGAATGTGATCATTTACAGACGGCATGGGTTATGTGCACAGTCAGAAAACAGCCTGGAATGTCTAAGGTGGCACACTATCTGGGCACCAGGCTGGGATAAGCGTTACTTACGCAAGGTGACTAGTAACAGTACTGAATTCCCTTGTCTGACCCAGGGGGCATCAGGACACAGATTGGACCAGTGTGATACAAAAATCACATTGAGGTTGTGTTGGGCTTCCCTGTTTAGAATCAGTCCTTTGTGGGCAAAATTCTCATCAGATCAGGGATACATTTTCCTGAGTTAGCTTAATACATAGTTACCTCTGTTCTATTTAAATAGCCTTTAAAAAAAAAGATTTCCTTTTTAAAATGTTTTTATTTATTTCAGAGAGAGAAAGGGATATGAAGAGAGGGATAGAAACATCAATGATGAGAGAAAATCATTGATCTGCTATCTCTTGCACTCTCCACACTGGGGATCCAGCCTGCAACCTAGGCATGTGCCCTGACTGGGCATCAAACCTTGACCTCCTGACTCATGGTTAATGCCCCAACACTGAGCCACACCGGCCCAGCTCTATAGCACTTTGTTATTACAACTTTTCTTCTCTTCCATCTCAAGAATCCCAGCTACTTTACTGCCACCTCTCATAGCATGTTACTTTCCAGTTTGTTCAGGTATTCATGTAAGTGACAAATGTCAATCACCATGAGGGCAGGAAGACAGGATTTATGTCTGATTCACTTCTGATGATCCCAAAGCTCCTAACACAATGCTTTGCACACAGTTAACGCACAACAAATATTTGATAAATGAATTAAATGTCTGAATCAGGATGCTTTTGCTGAAACGGGACATTACTTACTTGTTTTTCTGTAGGGTTACTGATTTACACCCTATTTTTTAAGGACAGTATTTACTGTGGCCCATGGGCTTCATGAGGGGTTGGTCCCATTCTCCAGACCACGTTGGAGTCAGGATCAGAATCATAGATTCTTTTTTATTTATTTATTTATTTTTTAAATATATTTTATTGATTTTTCACAGGGAGAAAGAGAGAGGGATAGAGAGTTAGAAACATCGATGAGAGAGAATCATCAATCAGCTGCCTCTTGCACACCCCCCACTGGGGATGTGCCTGCAACCAAGGTACATGCCCTTGCCCGGAATCGAACCCGGGACCTTTCAGTCCGCAGGCCTACGCTCTATCCACTGAACCAAACCGGTCCCGGCAGAATCATAGATTCTGACCTCAGGTTTTCTATCACTCTACCCTGTTTTGAGGAGGAGAGAGGGACAGAATGCTCATGGGCCTAATCTAAGAAATGGGGACTCGGAAATTCCTGAGAAATTCACTAAGGAAGGAGCCAGGGCCTTGTGACTGTCCGGGTGGGGGAGCAGGAAATGGGTGTCACCAGCATGCTGAGTGTCCTGTCTCCAGTCCTGCCCTCTCCCTGGTGGGCCATCGGGTGGGCCTGCATAGTTTTCCTGCTATATAATGCCAACCATCTGCTCTATCTGTTGCTTTTAGTATGTTCTTCCTGCCAAACCGGAACAAACCACCACTTGAAAACAAGCAGCCCAGGGCAGTGCCAAAGCAATAGCGTCACATTCAGAGGCCAAGGCACTCAGTGGCCCATGCTGGTCCCCTCCCCCTGTGTGCTGAATGGGGCCCGGGATAGACAGGCAAGAAGGACAGGGGATCAACTGTGTCCCAGGATTAAGGGGGTGACTGCAAACACTGAGTCTCTGGACAGCGTGCTCGTGGAGAGTTCTCGAATGTGAAGGTTTGGGGGAGATGCCATGTGAAAGCTCTGCACAGACCTTTAGGAGTGTGCAAAACTGGGGAACGAGGCAGGCTGGGCCCGGGGTTCCCCACGGCGACTCCAGGGAGGTCATAACGAAGAGTTCCAGCTGCACGGAGTGGAAATGACACATGATCTGTAGGGAGGAGGGAAAGAGCGTGCTCCTGGCGTCACACTGCCCCGTTCTAGTCCCGCCTCTAACCAACTGGGAACCATGAACACTGACCAACTGTCTGTGCCTCAGTTTCCTCATTTGTAAAACAGGGCGAAGACGTACTCGTAGGCCTGCTATTAGGACTTAAAAAGTCAATACAAGACAGGGCCTTTTTTAAAAATATATATATATATATTTTATTGATTTTTTACAGAGAGGAAAGGAGAGGGACAGAAAGCTAGAAACATCCATCAGCTGCTTCCTGCACACCCCCCACCAGGGATGTGCCCACAACCAAAGTACATGCCCTTGACCGGAATCGAACCTGGGACCTTTCGGTCCACAGGCCGATGCTCTATCCACTGAGCCAAACCGGTTCTGGCAAGACAGGGCCTTTAATACAGCTCATGGACTAATCATTAAAGTACACTCTTGGGGTATAAAAATGTTTCAGCAACATTGGTCATTTCCAGGTGAACCCAAGTACTGGCTGAGAAAGAGTGGCTGAGAGCATGGGCTCTGGGTTTGAACACTCGCTACACCACTTATGAAACCTGGCCAAGAACTTCACCTCCCTGTGCCTCAACTTCCCCATCTGTAAAGTGAGGACAAAAATAGCACCCACCACACCCCATCACACCTCATCAGGAGGCTAGAGTTAGTATGTATAAAGTGTGTAGAAGAGTGGCAAATAAGTTGGGTATGTCAGTTATTTTTATTAATAAAAACAGAAAAAGTAATTACTTTTTATCTTATTTCGTTGACAAACTCTTCAAATGTAATATCCAGGGAGAAAAATAATAGCCTGCCTTAGTGGTAGTAGGCTAACACGACTGGGGGAAAGAGAGCATCTCTTTCATTCAACTTTTAAAGCTGCCTTGGCGCAGGGAGAGGGTATGGGGTTTCAGCAATAACCAGCGGAAAGGGGAGCTCTGGTTACATGAATCAAGGCCCACGGATCGAGTGTCTGCTTCCTCTCCCAGCCCTGAGCAGGCCGTCCCCCACCCACCCTTGGTGTGAGTTACAAAGATCCTTCCCAAGGCATTTGGTGGTATCTGGAATACTTTTTCTCATTGGGATAATACTGAGCAGTTTCCAAGACAGCCACAGCACACCCATAATGCTCAGAGTTGGTGCAGGAGCACAAGCAGAGTGACAAGCGCTAGTCCCAGCTCTGCCCCAGCCCGTGACCTTGCACGGGTCGGCCAACCTCTGAGTCCCAGCCTGCCTGCCTGCCTCCCCGGAAGCTGGTGAGGACCACATAGCATTGGCCACAAAAGGGCTCTGAGCCCCAAGAATGTTGATGATACTGCCCTTCATCCTGAAAGAAGATGCAGTAAAGATTTCTTAGAGTTACTCGTGCTCCAAATCGGAGCTCCAAACCCAGGTTGGCAAAGCAGTTTTCACTTTGTCTTAACAGCTCAATGGGGAGATGTCCCCACCAGCAGTATTTTTCTTAATAATGGTAAAATACACATGGTATAAAATTTACCATAGTAAAATACACGTTACATAAAATTACCACTTTAAAGGGAACTATTTAGTGGCATTACCTACATTTAAAATGTTATGCAACCATCACCACTGTCTAGTTTCAGAACTTTTTTACCCCAAAAGGAAACTCTGTCTCCCCAGGTCCTGGTAACTACTAATGTCTATCCTGGACATCTATAATAATAAAAGCATAATATGCAGATCAACCAAATGGCCAAACAGTGGGACAACCATCAGGATGACCTTCTGGACAAAGTGAGGGCTGCGAGGGCCAAGGCAGCTGGGCTATGAGGACCAAGCCCCTTGCACAAATTTTGTGCACCGGGCCTCTAGTCTATAATAATAAAAGTGTAATATGCAAATCAACTGAACAGCCGAACAGTGGAACAACCATCCGGACCACCTTCTGGATAAAGCTAGGAGGGCCAAGCCCCTTGCACAAATTTCATGCACCAGGCCTCTAGTTTCATATAAATGGGACCATGCAATATGTGCTCTTTTGTGTCCGATTTATTTCATGTAGCATAATGTTTTTAAGTATCAATACTTGATATATTAATCCATGTTTTAGCATGTATCAATACTTCATTTCTTTTCCTGGCTGAATAATAGTCCACTTGCCCAGTTAAACCACAATCTGTTCACCCACTTACCGAGTGATGGGCAGTTGAGTTGTTCCTATCTCTTAACGATTGTATATAATGCTGCTATGAACATCCAGGTACAAGATTTTGTATAAACAATTCTTTTGGGATATACCCAGAAGTGAAATTGGGATGCCATATGCTAACCCCATATGCCTTGTGTGAGGAACCACCAAAATGTCTTCCACGGTGACCGCATCATTTTATTCTCTCATCAGCAACATCCCAGGGTTCCTGTTTCTTCACTGTGTGACCAGCATGTGTCATTTCCAACTTTGCTGTTTATGGCCATCCTAGTGGGTGTGGCCCAGCATTAACGGCTGGCTGTCCCTGGCATCCGAGGCCAGCCAGTTCGAGAATGTATTACGCCAAGACCAGACTCTGAAACACTGAGGCTGGCTTTTGTGGGGACCCTTCTTCCTGCGTATATATGTTCCTAGCAAAGATGATGCAGCCAGGAGCTGGATTAAGGAATGCCATCCTGTCCAAAGGGCAAGTGCCATGCTAATCTGGCACACCCCACGGAGAAGGGCCTGCACCAGCAGCTGTGCCTGGACAGGACAGTAGGCAACGCTAGCTGCTTGTGGGAGCCCTTTGGCCAGGGGTCCTGCGTGCCTTCCTTCGCGGGTCACGCCTCTGGCACTCGTGTTAGCGTCCGTGGGGATGGGGAGCAGAATCCGACAGTGTGCATGCCATTTGCTTCCTCAGCTGGCCTGGTCCTGGGCTCTGAGCACGAGACCCGTCTGGTGAAAAAGCTGTTCGAAAACTATAACAGAGCGGTGCGGCCAGTGGAGGACCACCGCCAGGCCGTGGAGGTCACCGTGGGCCTGCAGCTGATCCAGCTCATCAACGTGGTGAGTCCGAGGCCCGGGCTCCCACGGCAACCCCCCTCTTTCCCAGCATCCTCCCCTCAGCTCCCCGCCCCGCCCCCTAAACCTGGGACTTGTCTTTTTTCAGGATGAAGTAAATCAGATCGTGACAACCAATGTTCGACTCAAACAGGTAATTCAGCTAGATGACTGTATTTATTAAACCTGAAATGTAACCGGGGCCCAGAGTAAATCAATTTGGGCAAAAGGGGTACATGCCAAAGTGTTAAGGTAAATATTCTGGGGTGGTGGGACTATCACGTGTTGGTGTGAGCTTGTTTTTAACATTGTGCTTTTTCTGGGTGTATTAGTTTGCTAGGGCTGCTATAACAAAACCACAAACTGGGTGGCTCAGACAACATATTGCCTCGCAGTTCTTGAAGTCAAGGTGTCGATAGGATGGGTTTCTTCTGTGGGCGGCGAGGGAGAGTCTGCTCCAGCCCTCCCTCCTTTGCTTACAGTTGGCCATTTTCATGTTCACGTGGCATTTTTCCTGAATCTGTATCCATCTTCAAACGCGCCTTTACTTTTTTTTTTTTTTTTAATTGGCCACCTTTGCTTCTTTAGGCAGATCTGTGTGTTTGTTTGTTTTTTAAATAAATATATTTTTATTTATTTCAGAGAGTAAGGGAGAGGGAGAGGGAGAAACATCAAGGATGACAGGGAATCATGACTGGCTGCTTCCTGCACGCCCCCTACTGGGGTTTGAGCCCACAACCCAGGCATCTGCCCTTGACAGGAATCGAACCTGGCACCCTTCAGTCTGCAGGCCGATGCTCTATCCACTGAGCCAAACCAGCGAGGGCCAAACATGCCCTTCTCAAAAGTACAGCACTCATATCGGGTGGGGCCCACCTTAGTGACCTTATTTTCACTTAATTACCCCTGGAAAGACCCTCTCTCCTAATAAGGTCATATTCTGAGGTACCAGAGATTAGGACTTCAACACTGAATTTTGGGAGATGTAATTCCATCCATAACATTGTGTTATCCAAAGTTGCTTCGTTGGACACATATTGGTTTCAAACTATAGGAAGAGTTATACTTGTAAAAAAAAGTGATGCTGCCTTCTTAAGGAAAATGTTCACAATTGGGTCATTCTCTGTTCGTGGCATGATAGATCTGCCATCACTCAGTGGTGAGACTCGGAGGTACCTCTGCTTTCCCATCTGTAAAACGGGGTCCATGACCACTCTTACGTCCCAGGATTATTGTGAGGATGAAACCATCGATATCGGTAACATGCTTATAACGGTGCCCGCATGCAGCCAATCAGTGCCAGTGGTAGCTGGTGTGGTTAGCTGAAGGGAAGGCTGAATTCTGAATCAAACGATTCTTACCATAGCACAGTTTCTGTCGCTATCTGAATTATCATGTCCGTCAGAGCTCTAGATAACCCTAGATTGTGTTTTAAACGGTGTTTAGTGTGGGACGAGGTGGCCGAGTGGTTAAGGCGATGGACTGCTTAAAGGTTTAGCTTTCTAACCAGTTAAAAGTCTTCATTTCTAGCAATGGGTGGATTCCAACCTGAAATGGAACCCCGACGACTATGGCGGCGTGAAGAAGATTCACATTCCCTCCGAGAAGATCTGGCGCCCAGACTTGGTTCTCTACAACAAGTGAGCGAGACAGACGGGCAGGCAGGGAGGGGCATTCCTGGGGAGGGGAGCTGAGAGAAGGCCACCTCTTGGTGTGCTTCAGGAACCCAGAAGCCATGCTGACATGCCAGGGGCCATATGGCGTCTCATGGTATGAAGAGAAACAATTATCCGAGTCAAATTGAATCAGGGCTGTGGGTGAGGGACGTTTAATCCCTGCACGCTCCTGCAGGGTGCATGGCAACCATCCAAGGAACCCAAACCTTCTCTAATTAAGCTCCTTGGAATTAAACGTCCTTCCTGCCAATAGGTCTGCACCTTCTGAGGCTGTTGTTGTTTGTCATACCCTTGTGGCATCCCAAGATGCCATGCTGCTGATGGCCCAGGGCGCCCATGTGGCCCACCCTCAGGCTCTGAGACAGACTGCATGCCATGAAATTAAATGTGACTCAAGGCACTCTGCTTTCATGACATGCTCATCATCACACTGTCACTGGCCAGGGAATGAGCATTTCAAATGTATCTGTCCCAGGCAGAGCACACAGCCCTGGTCTGGAGGACTTGCACCTGATTCCACAGCACGTTAGGGGTGAGAGGCTGTGTGTGCTGCAGACTTACCAGGGAAGGTGGCCACAGCGAGTGAATGGAAATGAGACGCTGTATGGCTGGCCACCCCTACTTTGATAAAAATACTCCCTGCATATTTTCCAGTTACACCTGGGATTCGAGCTTGATCCAGATTACACAACCATTTGTGTGAACTTTTCAGACAAGCATGCTCATTGTCTTGTGTTGGTGAAGTTTCTCTTCCAGTAAGAATGTGAGCGAGGGGACGAACTCCTCTGGTTCCGTTACAAGCTTGTGCAGGGACACCTGTTGGGGGGAGAACCCTGTCGACCGGCTTAGAGGGAGAGACTTAGGAGATCCTGAGGCCTCTGCTCCTTTGAAAGGCCCAATAGCACAGTTTTCTGGAGAGAGCCTGCCTCCATCCTGAGGAAAAGTCAGTGGGAAGAAAAACCTCCTTGGTTTATGTCCCTGAAAGTTCACCAAGGCAGACCCAGCCACCTGTTTACCCCTGTGCCCTGCCCTTGGCCAAGGCCTGGACACAGGTCATTTGCAGGACTAGCAGACTGCTCACGGAACAAGGTCTGCAGAAGTGGCCTTTTTTTTTATTATTTTATTTTATTTTATTTCTACCATGTTGGATGTTTTTGAACAAGAAATTAGTGCCAACATCTGAAAATTTGGAAATACCACATCAAAACCCAAGCTTTTAGCCTCTCTAGAAAACCCCAACATTCAAGAATATGGAAACCTTGGGTTTAAAAATGTAGATTTTTAGCTTCTGAAGAAAAATCTAAATATCTGGCCACACTGGAATTTTGCTCCCATGGGGGCAGCACAGGCAGAGCTGAGTGGCTATCCCTCCACACAGCTTCACCTCTCCCTCCTTCCTCGCCTGCCTGGCCCTGGAGGCATCTGAGTGTGTGATCCCACCCCACTGAGTCCTAAATAGTTCTCAGAAAGGAATTGGACACCTTCCATAACCTGCTTGTCACAGTAACGAGCCACTGGATGTGTTCTTATTTAAAACTAGAGGCCTGGTGCACGAATTCGTGCATGGATGGGGTCCCTCAGCCTCGCTGCGATTGGGGCCGACGGGGGACCAGCCGGCTAGGGGGAGGGACTGTAGGAGGTTAGTCAGCCAGGGGGAGGGACCACAGAAGGTTGGCCAGCTGTCCCCTACCCCCAATTGGGACCGATGGAGGGGGGCACCCGGCCATGGGAGGTCGGCTGTGGGAGTGCACTGACCACCAGGGGGCAGCTCCTGCATTCAGTTCTGCCCCAGGTGGTCAGTGCGCATCATAGCAACTGGTCGACTCGTGGTTCAGTCATTCAGTCCTTTGGTTGCTTAGGCTTTTATATACATAGATTCCTAGGTTTTCCCCAGTTCACTTTGGAAGTATAGAGGGAGGGGATAGATGGAGATGATTACCAATACTAGAAAGCACTGAGAAGAAAAAGATCTGGGATGCAGAGGGTCAGTGTTACCTGCTGTTTCTTTAAAACTAGATTCCCAGATTCTTCTCCAGGTAATCTGATTCATGCTTAGATGGTGCCCAGGAATCTGTCTTTTAATCTGCACCCCAGAGATACTTATTACCAGCCAAATTTGGGAAACACTGACACAGATAAGAAGCGACACTGCCTGAAGACAGCTTCTACAATTACCTGGCCTCCTCTTCTGTCCCACCGTAGTGCCGATGGTGACTTTGCCATCGTCAAGTTCACCAAAGTGCTCCTGGACTACACTGGCCACATCACGTGGACACCTCCAGCCATCTTCAAAAGCTACTGTGAGATCATCGTCACCCACTTTCCCTTTGATGAGCAGAACTGCAGCATGAAGCTGGGCACCTGGACCTACGATGGCTCCGTGGTGGCCATCAACCCGGTAGGTGGTGGCCTTGTGTGCTGAGGTTGGGCTCAGGTGAAGCACGGTTCAAGTCTTCAGCTCTGCTCCTTTGTGATCAGAGGCTCTCTGCACCATTGAGAGCCCCGGGGACCTTCTAGTCCACATGCGTCAAACACAAGGCCCGCGGGCCAAATCCGTCCCGCCAGGCCTTGCAATGTGGCCCGCACCGCGCTGTCATCACTGCACTCCGCTGCGTTTCCATCACAATGACAGTTTATGACTGTTCAGTAAACCTTTCGGCCCATGATTTAGGCTGGATTTTAGGTTTTGGCCCCTTCTCTGATTGAGTTCGACACCCCTAATTCTAGTCAGATGGCTCTCAGTGGATTGGTGAAGTTCTGGATGTGCTGCCCATGAGAATCACCTGGACGCTAAAATAAAGTCCCAAGAATATGTACCTAATCCATCTGGGATGGGGCTAGGGCACCAATATGTTTTCAAGCTTCTAGGTCAGTGGTCGGCAAACTGTGGCTCGCGAGCTACATGCGGATCTTTGGCCCCTTGAGTGTGGCTCTTCCACAAAATACCACATACCCTAATTAAGTGAATAACAATGGACCTACCTATATAGTTTAAAAAATGTGGCTCTCCAAAGAAATTTCAATCGTTGTGCTGTTGATCTTTGGCTTTGTTGACTAATGAGTTTGCCGACCACTGTCCTAGGTGACTTGAATGTATAATCAGCTTGGAGAATTCCGGTAGTTCCAACACCCTTATTTGGTAGGAAAGGAACCTGAGACTTAAAAGTGGAAGTGCCTCAGGGTTCCACCTGGGCGCATGGGCTAGCGCTGGGATCTGCGGCCTTGTCACAGGTCATCGCGAAACCCTGGCCCTCCTTGGGGCGACACGGCTGGGTTTTCAGAGTTTTATTTTATCTTCTCAGGAGAGCGACAAGCCAGACCTGAGCAACTTCATGGAGAGTGGGGAGTGGGTGATCAAGGAGGCCCGGGGCTGGAAGCACTGGGTGTTCTACGCCTGTTGCGCCTCCACCCCCTACCTGGACATCACCTACCACTTCGTCATGCAGCGCCTGCCCCTTTACTTCATCGTCAATGTCATCATCCCCTGCCTGCTCTTCTCCTTCCTGACCGGCCTAGTGTTCTACCTGCCCACAGATTCAGGTGGGTGCCGTTGCCATAGCGGTGGCTGCTGATGAGAACAGATCTTGTGCTGCTATTTTGGGAAAAGCCAGAAGTAATTATAGGCTAATAAAAAAGATATATGGCAGGCAGAGCCAAATCATCATCCCTCAGAGGGCACGCTTACTGAGTGGCCATGTGCCGTGGTGAGGGCACTGTGGGTGGGGCTCACAGTGGAAACAGACTACAGAGAGCTGAATGAGACCCTGGAGATGCACATGCATGGCTCAGACTACTTAGAGGAAATAATCACCAATCCCTACCTGTTGAACACCTACTGTGTGCTGGGTAAGGCGTGGATCGCAGACACGCCTCATGACAGTTCCCCGGGCAGTCGCTTGCTCTTTACTAACCAATCAGGTCTTCCCTCTTGTTCTCACTGCTGGCCACTTGAAAATAGCTTTTGCCTATATTTTTCACATGTCAGCCCACACAGCTCACCTCCCACTGAGTCCGCACATCTCACCAAACAACGGCGATGGACAGGAAACAGGAGTAGGGTCTCTATACATCTGCCAGCAGGTCCCTCATCATAAACAATCCATGACCGATAAGTGTGTGTGTGAGGGGGTGGGGCAGAGGTGGTACAGACAGTCCTCAAACTTGTGACTTATGACAAGTCAAATTTCATCAAAATGACAATGGGAAAAAACTCACAAAAGTCTAAATCCAACTTTCTAACAAGAAAAAAAAAAAAAGACTGCATTCACTCATTCAACATACAGTACTTGTTGAACATCGGTTAGGCAGCAGGAACACAGTGGAAAATAAGGCAGAATTCGCCCCTGCAGAATCTATGTTCTAGTGATTGTACTTAGTTTTAAACAAATGATCACAAACAAATATTTTTTCAACTTTCCAATCAAATGCAGCTTCTTAAAGTGAAGGGAGGAAGCAATAGTCAGGCAATATGGAAACTACTCACAGTTTCTATACATGATTTATGCTTGGAAAGTATTTTTTTAACAGTGAGATGCTTGATGAATGTGAACCATTATTATTATCATCACTGTTATTCATCAAGAAATGGGATGCAAATGGATCAGTATTTCATATTTATAATTCTGTCTTCTTTTTCACTTTTAAAGGCTTTCCTCCTCACCAGGTAGAATTCCACTCACACGGTAGACTGATGACTTCTTGTTTGCACCTGCTCTGTATCCTGCATACACTCCTACATCTAGAAGCATCCTGTGTGTGGGGGTGCAGGGAGAGGCGGGCCAGGGGAGCTCCATACTGGAAAGTAGGATAACATGAGGGTTCCCAGGACACAAACAGCAAACCACCTGAGGAAGCCCCTCCCAGTGGCTCTCCACTGCACCTGAGGTGGTGGTCCCCACAAAGCATCCCACTGCCCTTCAGCCCCGCCCTTCTTGTTCGCCGTACTTGCCTAACCAAGACTGCAGCAGGGAATGGTGGGCCTGGAGAAAGGCGGTGGGGCAGGGCACTCCCTGGTCCCTTCGTATGAAAAAACGAAACAACAAAAACAATCATCCTCTTTAGAGGAAAGTCAATGGGGTGAAATCATTGCTTTCGTTTTCTCAGTTTGAGTCTTACCCTTGCTCTCATAATGAGAAAATTGTACATGAACCTCTGGCCGCCCACCCACCGGCAGGCTAATGAGCAGGCCAGGCTGCGGCTCCGTGTGGTGAGGTTGAGGACGTTCTGCTATGGAGGGGAAAGCTGCCACCCGGGTCTAGCATGGACCTCGGTTCCCTGGGCTCCACCACGAAGTGGAATTCTGGGGCAGGAGACACAGCCGTTGTTTCCTGCCTCGTGGCCTCTAATGAAAACACCTGCCACGTGCCAGTGTCTGCAGAGTTACGGTGCCACAGGAGATTCTGCCCAAAACGTGCCCCTAGAATGATGCTTTCAGAAATGCCTGTCACATTCCTCTCACCCGAGGGTTTCAGTGGTGTCTTGGTCTGAGAGAGCTGCCATAGCAAAGGACACAGCCTGGGGAGCTCCAGAAGCAGGCATTTGCGATCTCACAGCTCTGGAAGCTGGAAGTCCGAGATCAAGGTATCAGCTGGGGTGGTTTCCTCCAGGGCCTCTCTCTTGGCTCACAGATGCCAGTCTCCTCCTTGTGTCCTCACCTGGTCTTTCCTCTGTGTATATCTGTGTTCTCCTTAGGCGGACACCAGTCGTGTTGGATGAGGACCCACCCTGAAACCTCATCTCTATATATAAAAGGCTTATATGCTAAGTTGCCAACCATCTGACTGGTCGCTATGACATGCATTGACCACCAGGGGGCAGACGCTTAATGCAGGAGCTTCCAAGCTGCAGTGACTTGGCAGCTGCAGGGCTCGGGTGATATACCCTGAACCCAGAGAGGAAGGAGCCTGATTCCACAAGGGGCTTGCGATTCCACCTTTGGCCATGGGTTATGTTGTTGCTGGGGCACTGTTGTCCCAGATCTGGTTTATTGCACACTTGCATTTGCATTCCACACCCTGTACGACGGCAACTTTGCAGAGTGCCTCTCACACTCTGGGACCCCTCAGGGGATTTGGAGAGCTGGTTTTGGCCCAATATCCATGGGCCAGGCCAAGGGATCCTACCTGCCAGAAGGACCCGGCTCACTCTGCAGGTGCCCTTTGAACCAGCGCCACCCCAGGTGTGGCCAGCCGGGGAGGACTGTGGGAAGTTGGGTCCAAGGCACGTCCAGCCTGCCTTGCCCAGTCCCACACCACCAACCACCTTCTAATTAATTTCCTTTCAATGTGCATGCATCTGTGCACCGGGACACTAATTTTATTTTATTTTATTTTTTAAAATATATTTTATTGATTTTTTACAGAGAGGAAGAGAGAGGGATAGAGAGTTAGAAACATCGATGAGAGAGAATCATCGATCAGCTGCCTCTTGCATACCCCCCACTGGGGATGCGGGGCACTAGTTTTAATTTAATCATCTCTTTATAGACCCCATCTCCAAGCAGTCACTGAGTGGTGAGGCTTAGGGCTTCAACATACAAATTTGAGAGGAGCAGCAGTTCAGGGCGTAACAGAGGGCGGTTGTGCTTTGTCTCCATTGTGTCCAGGAGAGAAGATGACCCTGAGCATCTCTGTGCTGCTGTCCCTCACCGTGTTCCTGCTGGTCATCGTGGAGCTGATCCCCTCCACCTCCAGCGCGGTGCCCTTGATCGGGAAATATATGCTCTTCACCATGGTGTTTGTCATCGCATCCATCATCATCACCGTCATCGTCATCAATACGCACCACCGCTCCCCCAGCACCCACGTCATGCCCGACTGGGTGAGGAAGGTGAGTGAGCGAGGCCCCTGCAAGCCCCACACAGGGCTTCCCTCCTCTCCTCCCCCACCCTTGTCCCCATGGCCAGCGGAATTCTGCTCACCCTTGTGGGTACTCAGAGCTCCAAGTCCTTTCCGGGCTGTATGACATTTTTGGAAGGAATGTTCTTGGGCCTCTTCCTAGAGATAAATAGCCCACATATTCCTCGGAGAGAGAAGAAAACCAGAATTACCAAAGCTCACCTCTAATTCAAGCTCTAAGAACCTTTGTAATTAGCGACGATAAATAAATCACTATCCTTTTTATTCAAATGCTGGGGGATTCTTGAGGTTTCTGTTTGTATGGCTTGCAGTTCGTGAAGAGGTTGCTTATTTTTTGCTGGTAGAATCATCTGCAGAGAATAAAGGCTAGAGATGGAGGGGAGGCTTGATGAGAGATGGCCAAAGTGAGTTTTAATGGGGAACTTGGTCTCAAGTATTTACATTTTTGAAATGTAAAATGCATTCACATTTCAAATATCAGTTGCTGTTGTCGTTGTTGTTTTATATAAAACTTCACAGACACACAAATGGCCAGGATCTTTTGTGTAAAATTAAAACTATTTGTCATGAATTGACAGAAACTACTGCTCACAATGTATTTTTTGGAGAAGAAATGGCCCCTGTTTGCATTAAGACTGTTGAATGACTTCTGGCAATACCTGTCTTGCATTTTTTCAGAAACAAGAAATGAAAGAAAATAGTTTAGCTGTTTTGTGGAGCCAGAACCTTATGTATATTTTTATCTTGACAGACCCTTTCTTTAACCATATAATCTTGAAAGAAGCAGGGACCTGCAAGGGGCCCAGAAGCTAAGCATCATTGGTTTCTCCGGAGTTCAACAGCTGCATACAGGCGCCCTCCAGTGGTGGAATGCTCACATGACAGATTTGGCACTGTTAACCACTGTTAATTCCACAGGCCACAGGCTATGTATGCATGAAGGAATCTTTGAGGAAATCTACAGCGTCCTTTTGTTTTAAGGACAAAAAGGCGGGGGTCCAGAGAAGGCGAATGACTTGCCTAAAGTTACGTTACTAATTCAAAATCAGAGTTTGATGCTTGCCTTGCTGGCCGCTATGCTCATAAATGGATTTCTTTTCCAATGGTAGGTTTTTATCGACACCATCCCAAATATCATGTTCTTCTCCACCATGAAGAGGCCATCCAGAGAAAAACAAGACAAGAAGATTTTCACCGAAGACATTGACATTTCGGACATTTCTGGGAAGCCGGGGCCTCCGCCCATGGCCTTCCACTCCCCGCTGATCAAGCACCCCGAGGTGAAAAGTGCCATCGAGGGTGTCAAGTACATCGCGGAGACCATGAAGTCAGACCAGGAGTCCAATAACGTAAGCTCCGCGACTTGACACCCACACCACTGGGTGTAAAGAATCAATGCTCGCGTGCAGGGGGCTGGGTTTGGCTTGATGGGCAGGTTAGGGTTTCAGAGGCAGCTACTGACCTAAGGTAAGCCTGGCGACCGCCTCTAGGCCACCTTATGAGTCAGCCTTTTGAGTAATCTATTCAACATGTCAAGATCGTAATGCCAGCCTAAGGATGCTGAGGGCTTTGCAATCTGCAAATCAAAGGCTGTACTGGCAGGAGATGCATAACCTGCATTGTGGGCCAAAGGACCCCCTTAAGGAAATTCTAACCTTTCCTTCCCTCCCAGGCGGCTGAGGAGTGGAAGTATGTGGCGATGGTGATGGACCACATTCTCCTTGGAGTCTTCATGCTTGTCTGTATAATCGGAACCCTGGCCGTGTTTGCAGGCCGGCTCATTGAGTTACATCAGCAAGGATGAGCAGAGAGCTGAGCCGAGCCCAGCTCCGCCCCAGCCCCGGGCAGAGCAGAGAAAGGTGGGCAAACAGCAAGATTTGTCCGCTTGGATATAAGCTCACTGATCAAGCGTTTGATTTTCTATGTGTATGATTAACAACAATAATTTACATTTGTAAGGTTGTGGCCTCAGAGTGTTTTCACCTTGCTTCTCCCCTCAGTCTCTGTCAGCCTGGAAAGTAAAAACCTTTCAGGAAATCAAACTGGATCGCTACAGTAAGTTTCCACCCCCAATGACGTCTGGAAGAGTTTTGCCCAAAATAGCTGAGGTTTTCTGTTGGTTTGTTTTTCTATTTTTATTGACTTAAGCAAAGAATGTATCCTTGGCTTAAAAGCCAGTTTTGAAGAAAAGAAAAAAAAGCCAGTTTTGTGCCTACTGGAAAGCCCCACCTACCAGTCCCAGAAAGGTAAAGACAGCACTGGACCTGGAGGGAAAGGAGACAGTAGAAAGGCTGCCAAAATGCAAACTGCATCAAGCCCCGTGATAAGGTCCATGTCTACAACCGGTGGGTGAGGACGGCATTTCCCCGTCTGAGGCAGAACCTGAGTTTGACACTCAGGGTTTGAGGGAAAACAGGTTCTGACCTGTAGTGAGTGGATGGGCCAGGCACGAGGGAACCACCTCACAGGCAAGATTTATTTCATCCTCATGATTTGCATACAGATGAGGAAACTGAGCCTGAGGGAGGTTAAGTTCATTGCCTAAACCAGGTGTCGGCAACCTGCGGCTCTTTTGAAGCATTGCTGAGGCTCCCAACAGCAGGGCCAATCGCAGGGGCGGGGCGGGGAACTGCATCACTTACCTCCACTGCCTCCGGAGCTCCCGGTGCTCTGTGTGGCAGGTTGCCAGCGACTTAGTGTCGCTAGGCAACCACAGCGTCCCTGTCCTGGCCCAGCCTCCTCCCTCACATCACAGCATGAGGGGAAAGAGAGGTACTGACAGAGGGGACACTGAAAAATAATAATAAAAAAAATGCAATAAAGAGAAAAAAGGGAGAAGGAAAAAGAAGACAGAGAGGTCAGAGAGGACTGGAGAAAGAGAGAGGGCTTGCAGTGTGACTGTCACTGGGAGTCGAGCCTGTACAGTGAGTGGAAAGCATATATTCTGACCTCCTGCTCCACAACAAGGTCCGGTGGCTGTTCAGAGGTGAGGTGCTAAAACGCTTTGTCATATGTTTGGAAGAAGTAAAAACTTTCCTGTCCAGCAAAGAGCTCACCTTTGCTGAGCTGGAACAACCAGAGTGGCTGGAAAAATTACATTTTATGGTAGACATGACAGCACATCTAAACACACTAAATACAACCCTTCAGGGGAAAGGAGGCACAGCCCTGCACATGCTGGAGGAGGTTTAGGCATTGGAGCGCAAGTTGACAGTGTTTGTCAAAGATTTATAGAGAGGTACACTGTCTCACTTTCCCTCTTTGAGAGAGTTCAAAGTCATGATACGATAAATTTGGAATATTTGAAGTCTGCAATCACCACAATGCAAAGTTCGTTTGGGAAACGATTCTGTGAGTTCAGAGAGGAAAAAAACACATTATCCTTTCCTGTCACTCCCCTGGCGATCGACCCATTCCTATTGAATATGACAGGATTTGCAGGTGTAAGTCAACCTGATCTTGAGATGGAACTGGCCGATATAGCCGACAAAGATATATGGGTGTCCAAGTTCAAATGCTTGGCCGCTACTCTTGAGGATGTTGCCCGTCAGAAGGCCATGCTGGCTCAGAATCATAAATGGAGTGATATTGAAAACCTTTCCAAATAGGACAAACTTGTATTCGAAACATGGAATGCCATCCCCAACACTAATATAAACATGAAAAAGTATGCATTTGGAGTCCTGTCGATCTTCGGCTCCACATATGTATGTGAGCAGGTTAACATGAACTATATTAAAAACAAACATCGGTCATGCCTCACAGATGACAACTTGCAAGCCTGTGTGAAAATGAAGGTAACGTCTTACAGCCCTGATGTGCAGACACTGTGCACTGAGGTTCAAGAGCAAAAATCCCATTAACCAGGTAAATTAAATATTTTAATTAGCTATTAATTTGCAAAAATATATTTTACATTGTTAAGTGAAAAAGTCTTTTTTTTCTTCAGATTGACATCTAACTGCACGATCTGGTATATAACATTAAAGTAAGAAACAATATATGCAGTGTTATATTTGTTTTAAATGTCGCAATGGTTTTGCGGCTCCCAGGTGTTTTTTTTTCCTTCGGAAACGGGTCCAAGTGGCTCTTTATGACTTAAAGGTTGCCGACCCCTGGCCTAAACTATCAAAGAGAAGAATTGGGATTCAAACCCAGACCAGGTCTGGGTTGAAGCAGCTCCGGGCTGGTCACTTCATCTGCTCTTTGCCTTCCCAGCCACCCCTGGCTCGATCTTGGCCATTCTGTCACTCTGGTCAGTATCTTGAGTGCTTCAGTGTTGGCATCCACCATCTTTCTGCCTTCCCAATGAAACTTCTGCCTTTCTTCCTACCCCTGGTCCCATGGAGAATGTTCTTTAGCAATCTCCAGGCCACGGTGTGATTCACGCAGAACTAGAAAATGTGCAGGCTTGGCCTTGTGTCACCAGAACACATCTGCCCACATCAGTCCGGGGAAGAGCAGGGACCTGCGCTGCTGGTGTCCTGACTGAGCCCGGCTGGTCTGTCTACTTCTCCGTGGGGGCCCCTCTCACACACCATGGCAGGACTGGTGCCTTCATTTTTTGAGTAAACTAAAGAGAAAACAGTTTGGTGGCTCCTCAAAAAAATAAATAAATAAATAAATAAATAAACACAGAATTATCACATGATCCAGCGATTCCACTCCCAAAAGAATTGAGAGCTGAGGCTCGAACAGATACTTGTATGCCAAGTGTTCATGGAGCGTTACTCACAACAGCCAAAAGGTGCAACAGCCTAAGTGTCCATCAGTGGATAAGCAAAAGATAGTCCATACATGAATGGAACAGTATCAGCCTTAAAGAGCATACAATTCTGACACATGTTATAATATGGACCAACCATGAAAACATACTAAACGAAATGGCACAAAAGGACAAATATTGTACAATTCTACGTACAGGATGCACCTCGGGTAGGCAAATTCATTGAGACAGAAAGCAGGAGAGTGGTTCCCAGGGCTAGAGGAAGGGGCGATTACTGCTTAGTGGACACAGTTTCGGTTTGGGGTGATGAAAAGTTCTGGAAATGGACAGTGGTGAGGGTTGCACAACCTCATGAAGGCACTTAATGCCATTGCGTTGTATACTGAAAGATGCCTAAAGTGAGACATGTTGTGCTATGAATATTTTACCACAATAAAAAGTGTTGTTGTTTAAATCATAAACTGCTCCTTTGCTCATCCTTAACATTGGACCCTGGGTGAGGATTGGCTGAAAATGGGGCACTGCTAGAGAAAATAGTTTCCCCTTGGAGGAGTGCTCTTCTCCCCCTCCCCCCCCCCTCCTCCTCCTCCTCCTCCTCCTCCTCCTCCTCCTCCTTCTTCTTCTTCTCTCTCTCTCTCTCTCTCTCTCTCTCTCTCTCTCTCTCTCTCTCTCCCTCCCTCCCTCCCTCCCTCCCTCCCTCCCTCCCACTCTTTCTCTTCCTCCCTCCTTTCTTCCCTCCTCCCTTCTTCCCTCCCTCTCTCCCCAAACATCCCTTAGGGGCCTAGCTTCCTCCTAGAACCCAGCCCTGACACATTTCCCTCAGAAAGTCAGGGGGAAGACTAGAACAGGGAAACTGTCGTGTCTCCCCCACCCACTCCCAAATTTAAACCACTTTTGGGCAAGTGGCCCACCCGCTGGCACCGCCCAGGGGCCCACAATGAGGGGAGAGCAGGGAGCAGAGATGGGGCAGGGGTCTCCCTGTCTCTTCCCAGCCCCTGGGGCAGCTCTTCCCCAAATCCTTCCCCCTCTCCAGCACCCGGGGAGGCCCTGCTAAGGCGCCATTAGTAGGAGTTTAATTTTTAGCCAGAAAAATTGCCTTCTTGAACAATCTTTACTTTTTGAACATCAAGGTGAGATAGAGCTTTAGTCCTGTTTCTAGTCTCCTAGCTATAGCTTTCTGCGAAAGCCCTCTGGTCGCTTCAAAGTAAGTCCTTGCATACCTGTCTGATTTGAACTCCCCACTTAGCCTCTTCCCAAGGTCAGAGGCTGTTTTCTGTTCGTGTTTACGCTCTCAGGGATTAGGCAAATGCTGGAAAATGTGCCGTGGGGATGAGAGACGCCGCAGGGCATTCTCTGGTGAACATCCCACCTTGGGTCGACGGGTTGGCAAGCCCGCGGCTCCGGTGGGGCCCGGGGCGCTCCTGACACACCTGTGCTTGCCCGCGGGCCCACCGCAGGCTCTGCAGCCGGTGCACAGGCTCACCGCGAGGGAAAGCACGTCTGTGAGCCCTTCCACATGTTTCTCAGACCGAACCGCTCCGCGGCCTGCATCGCTACAGCCTGGTGCATAGGCGCAGGCCTTGGCCTCCAGGAAGCTCTCTGCACAGCTGCCCAGGCCCGCCCTTTCCTGCCTCATCACATCCACCGGACCCCGCGAGCTCCCTGATGCCTGCTTCACCTGCTGCTTTAAGGATGTCAACCTTCTGTCTCCAGCGGGATGGGGCCCTCCTGGAAAAGGAAGTCAGGATCCTCTACCTGTACGTCCTGCGGGACCTGGGGCAAGTTACTGAACCTTCTGAGCCCAGAGGAAAGCACGGGATAGTGCCCACTTCCCCGGGGAATGTGGCGGGCACTCTGCAGTGCTCCTTCAATAACCCTCCAGGCAAAGGTCCGCCCTAACCACCCTCCCCCATCCCCAGGAGATCCTCCACCAAACCCTGAGAGGGTTGAGTACCTGGTGTCCACAGACATTGGTTGAATTTTTTCTCCATAGATTTAAATAGATATAATTTTTAATTGGTTTCAGAGAGGAAGGGAGAGGGGGACAGAAACATCAATGAGAGAGAATCATTGATTGGTTGATTTCATCATGTCCCCCCTCTCCCCCCCCCCAACACACACACACACACACACACACACACACACACACACACTGGGGATCAAGCAAATCCGGGCATGTGCCCTGATCGGGAATCACTCAGCCACTGAGCCAGGCCGGCAGGGCTCAGTGGCTGGCCGGCAGGGCTCAGTGGCTGTTGATACAGTCACAAGGCAATGTGCTCATCATCACTATGTACTGGTAATGCCTGTACATTCCCATCAGCCCCTCTGAGCTATATACTTCCATAAAGCTTTGTTTAGTTTTAAATGAATCAAAGCACATTTTGACTATATCACACTACATACAATTATTCTACTTTATAATCACTGGTGGCATGTACCATGTGTCAG